ACAATCGGCCCTTGAACTTGACCATGCTCTCGTCGATCGAGACAACCCCATTCGGCTTGTAGACGACATAGAAGTTATCGTTGAGGGTCTCTATCATCCATCGGACCTCGACGAGCTTGTCCGTGTTGCCTTCCAGGACGCTGTCATTGTTGTGCAGGTGAAGGAAGCGCCATATCGCAGTGAACCGGTCTCTGGACATGATACTCCCGAATTGAGTCTGCAAGAGGGACTTTTTCTGCCTCCAGTAGTCGGTCCGGCTGAGTCTGCAAGAGGGACTTTTTCTGCCTCCAGTAGTCGGTCCGGCTGAGTCTGCAAGAGGGACTTTTTCTGCCTCCAGTAGTCGGTCCGGCTGAGTCTGCAAGAGGGACTTTTTCTGCCTCCAGTAGTCGGTCCGGCTGAGTCTGCAAGAGGGACTTTTTCTGCCTCCAGTAGTCCGTCCGGCGTGGTAGGCGCATTACGCCCACGAAGAAGCAAAGGCCTGTGTAAAAATGAAAGTATTTTATGAATGTATATATATTGATAGAATTAGGTAAAGTTGAAGAAAGAAATAATATCATACACCCTCCCCCTCCCCAAACAAGTAAACAAATACAAAAATAAAATGCAATACAATAACATTTTTCAGATTTTTAAAAAAATGAAAGAAAAATTACTCACCCATGAAAGCTTTCATGGTGTTGGCATCGACTGGCTTCCACTTGGTCTTTGGAGGCTGGGGTCCCTTTGCTTGCTCCGGCTCAGCATACCGATTCGTCTCCGTAACAAGATGCTCCCAGAAGGTTTCGGTCCACATCCTGTTGAAGTAGTCCACAGGCTCCTTGTTTGGCTCTAAAACCGTAGGTCCAGAAGGTCCTAGAAAATACGAAATAATATTTACGTATTGTATCAATTACATAGATAAGTGTTCTCGTTTAAGTTTGGATACTGATTTATTATAAATGTATTTCGTCCTCGCTGACAAAATTAGGTTAGGCTGAGTGACAGAGAGGGATACTCGTCCGAGGAGGCAGACGGAGATCTTCAATAGAATAATATCATAAACTACAAATCAATAGTGTACGAATCAAATTTACCCCTTCAGCGTGCAACAGTTACAACTATTACAGCACAACAAGTGCTGAGAGCTTTTCTTTCCGATTTTGGAAGAGACCTCCCAATTGTTCATAGCCTAATACTAAAAGTAACAATAACGCCTAATTGTAATACAATCAGGACTCGTATATAAAAAAATCTCGGTCAAAATCTCGAACAATACAAGTTTTTCCCATAATGTAATCATTCACAAATCAGAGAATCACATGATGCTTTCTTTCTAAATAATATATAAACAAACCCAAGCATGCAATCAATGGTCATGTACAGAGATACAAATACAGTAGGCAGTTAAACAGTAAGAAGCGAGGAAAGAATTATAATTCTATGGCGCTACATACTACATACTTCTGAATTCACGAGCAGTTCGTGGCTGTAGATTCGTGGTCGTCCACTTGTCTTGAAAAATAGCGTCGACTTTCACTGTGTCATCGAACATCCCGAGAAACCAGTCGTCGTCACCTTGTTGTACGCGGTCAATAGGATCGTTGGGATGACCAACACTACCGCCGCGCGCCTCAGGCAAGTTGACAGCTCCGTTCATCACATCACCCCCGTCGCTGTCGCTGAACCCTACAACCTCAACATCACTACCCTCACTCACATCGTCATGGAAAGATGCCATTGTTGTAAAACAATACACTTTGCGCAAAGATTTTCACAAGCGAAGTGAAACAGTCCGTCCGCGTGACACGCAGAAAACGAACTGGCAGATAGGGGGGCTGCACAGCGTCTTCTTCTTTACGGATGTATGTATGTATAGTATAAGGTTTTACGGCGCTTTTACGGATGTGACAAAAAGTATAGCTGTGCGCATGCGCGGATGTGTTTTCGGTATTATTGGTATTGACATCACCCCTCGGAGGTTTCCGGTGCTAATTATAGCAGACCTGCCACTTATCCCGATTTAATCAGGATATCCCGATTTTTTGCCCCAAATCTCAAGCATCCCGATTTTCCCGATTTCGATCGCCAGTATCCTGATTTTTTGTCGTTGCGTCTGTTGCGTCCGATTCTAGGTATAAAAATATAAAAAGTTCTGCAATCTCTTTTGCTTGGAAGCACCGATTGGATTTTTTATCGTCAGGCACTTGGAACGCTACTTTCTGAAACATCTATGCCGAATCTAGCAGATGACTCACGCACGTTATTTCAACTAGAACTGACGTAGTATCGATTTTGAATTCCGACATGGATACGCTCAAGATCTACTTTCGCTTTTATAAACCAGAATTGTCCGATGATGTCCTGATTACTGTAACAATTATGACATGGGCCTAAGAATAAGCTATTCGTTGTTCTGCCGTTGCTTTAAAAGCAAGCTTCGTTCTGGTTAGTCGGGCCCATCCGACCTGTCAGTGGAACTTTCAAACGCTCATTTGCAACACGTGACATGGCCTCGTACGTGTGAGTAGTGCGTGTGATTTTTTTTTTTACACTTGGGCGTAAAGTGCGTGCCGTGATACATGTAGAATCTAATTGAGGATGAAGGAATAAGAAAAAAGAAATAAACGAACAACCTTGGCACAATCTTTTTTTCGGGGGGAGGGGGGGGGGGTGCCTTGAGTGTATATGCGATGGAAGTCAAACGTTGTTACTGTATGAAAACGTGGGCTTTTAGAGGGATGATTAGAGTTATATGTCAGCTATTTTCAAGACGACGAAAGTTTGTTTTACTGCAACCTGCGCTACCCCAGTCTATCGAACTCCGACTCGAGTAATGCTGTCTTTCAGTTTTCCCTCTATTTAGAGGCCCAAACGTGAACTTCTTCCTGCAAAAGTTTTCTCTTGCATACTTGCCTCATAAAAGGGAACCAGGACCCCTCCCCCCCCCTTCCCCAGTATCCTTTATGACTGATTTGCCGTTGATCCCGATTTTTTTCACCAGATCCTGATTTTTTTACTCTAGAATCCTGATTTTTAGATTTCATAGAATGGCAGGTCTGATTATAGACACTTGCGGTTATTTGTTTTAGAGCGAGCCAATGAGAGCACCAGAAATATCAAAGTTATGATGTATACCTCATATAAGTTGTGTAAAAAGAAAATTGCTGAAAATAAATGTAAAATGTTACTACTAGAGTAAAAAAAAAACACTACTGGAGACAGACTATTTTTACAAAATACAACAAACAAACAAGAACAAAGTAAACTTACATTAAAAAAAGAATGAAAATCTCTGACACAAAATTTAGAATACCGAAGCCCCGGGTGCATATGAAGCAGATCCAAACGTTTCAACCTCAAGGGCTTCAGGGAGGTTATTTTCCTTTGCAGCTGCAGTTCTTTTTGCAGCTCGCTTTTCAGCCTTTGACTTGTCATATGTGTCAGAGATTTTAATTCTTTCCTCATCCCCCTTTTTCCCCAAAAGAATACTGCAATTAGAAATTTCAAGCCGAAGGTTCCACATCCAGTTGTGGGTACCCCGGTTCCATTCACACACTGCCATGGCAGTGACAGTCTCAACCCGGTCCCTGTCCACAAAAATGTGCTTAGGGCACCGAAGCCATATCTGGCTGTGGAAAGCCTCATTATTGTTTTGGGTTTTACCCATCATGCAGCCCGCAAGTAGCTTCGGGTCTGTCATGTGGTCGTATACCAGCCTTACATAGGAAGCGACAGTTGTGTTTAACACTTTTCCACCACATACAGTAGAGTGAAAAAACCCTTGGCTCCACAAACATTATGGGCGGATGGCAGGAGAAAACAAGTGGGTTGACTTAAATGTCAACTGCTCTATTACATATGCATTTACCACCATGAAATTTTCAGGATGGGTGCACAAGTGGATGAGGTTTCTTGTTGTGAAAAATTTTTTTTAAAATTATGTCACCACGGCGGCCATTTTGAATAAATTATGTAACACTTACCTGAAATTTCAAGAAAAAGTCACTTCCTTCACTCCTTGAAAAGCACAAACACACTATACCCACACAAGTATACCCAAAAAATGCAATTTGACCATCTCTGGTTACAAAAAAGTACAAATAAAGGTGGCTGGGTGATTTTTGTGGCAATCTAGAGACATTATAAAAAAGTACCCCAACAGGTGAAAACGGAGGACCGAAAAGAGTGATTGGGGGTGTCTCACAAAAAGGCTTATTACTCAGTACCATGATAATCTACTGTTATAAAACTTGCAGGGCTGTTGGAGAATTGAATAATATTTGAAATTTCACAATCATTTTTATCATGTGACTTGACAAAGATGGCTATTTTGAATAAATTATGTAACATTTACCTGAAAATTGACAAAAAAATGTACTCCCCCCCCCCTACAAAAAGCACAAACACACCATATCCTCAATATTATGCCCTAAAAAGGTGATTTGAACATCCATGGCCAGTAATAAATTCAAATAAAGGTGGCTAGATGATTTTGATGTGCAATTTAGAGCCATTATAAAAAGGTACCCCAAAAGGTGAAAACGGAGGACCGAAAAGAGGGATTGGGGGTGTCTAACAAAAAGGCTTATTACTCAATACCATGATAATCTACTGTTATAGAACTTGCAGGGCTGTTGGAGAATTGAATAATATTTGAAATTTCACTGTCATTTTTATCCTGTGACTTGACAAAGGTGGCTATTTTGAATAAATTATGTAATATTTACATGAAAACTGACTAAAAAATATATAATTTTTTGTCTCCACAACAAAAGCACAACATTTAGGCTGAAAGAAAGCACAACACTTAGGCTGAAAAAAAAAGCACAACATCGAGAACACGATATGTATGTGTATGTTCATGTATTGCGGATTGTAGTTGTGGATGAATGGGAGAAATTTGAATTTGAAGTGTTGCAAAGCATGCTTGTGGTGTATGTAGCTACAAAAGATTCTAAATGTACTCACTGTGACAAAATATAATCCAAATATGTGGGCTTGATCCAAGTGAAGAAATAGCACTACAACTCCAGCTGCTGCCGCGCCTGCCTGACGTCCGCAGCAGTGTGCCAAATCCTGAAACAGTCCCTTTCGACACACAAGGCAGTGTTGCACTGTGGGCAGTAAAACCTTGTCTGGGCCCGCTTCTTTATGGTCGAACAAACTTTGCACAGAGGGCGGTGTTTGGCGTCGGCGAATTTAGCCGGGAAATGCCCAAGCTGGGCAGCAGACAAGCGTTCGGCAGTGGGGTTTGGCTGGGCTCGAGGTCGACCCGGACGCATGCCCATATACGGCTTGACTAGCGCATCAATCACCGATGACCTAAAGTCTTTGACGCTGTCCGTTCCACCGTCCGCTTTATACAGTATGTGTGCATTTACGAGGCACATGTCTTTCACGTAGTGGTACAAGGCCATATACCACTTGTAGCTCCTGTGGGGGTAGTGGTAATTCCTGTGGAGCTGATCAAAGTGATCCACCCCACCCATGTAGCTATTGTACGACTCCGCTAGAATCGGCTTTTGGACTGCGCGGAATCCTCCGGGAGTCTTGGAGCAGCGAATTCTTTTGTGCATCACACCGTTGCTGTGAACGGTGCTCAGCAAGCACACACGCTTGGTGTCATGCCAGGCCGTCGCGACAAGATCGCCAGCTTTGGCGAAGACGGGATCGTCTCCTTTCCGAAGGGGAAGATGCACTTTTTTCAGCTGCTCCGGAAAGCCCTTCCGTGTCTCCACCACAGTGCCAACAGCACCCGTTTGTCTATTCTGCAACTCCCTGAAGAGCCCCTGAGAGCTGTAAAAATTGTCGCAAAACAAAATGTGGCTCTTATCCAGGTAGCCGTCAAGGAGGGTCTCGACCAGGTGATTGGTAAAGGCTTTGCCGTCAGGGAGAGGGGAAAAGTCCTTACCTGTGTACACCACAAAGCGAAGGCAGTAATATGACACAGAATCACACAGACAGAAGCACTTGAACCCCCGCTTCGTTGGCTTGTCCGGCATATACTGTCTGAAGTGGCACCTTCCCTTGAACCTAGCCATGCTTTCATCAATGCTGACCTGCTGGTGAGGATAGTAGGCAGTCAGAAAGGACGGGCTGAGGTCAAGGAAGTTGTGGATCTTCTGCAGTGGCTTGTACCCAGCTTGCCCCCGTGGCACATGCTGTGCAGCATCACTGGAGAAAAAGAAATAGTTATCAGTGAAAACAGCAAGCATAAGTTTTGGGGTATTGGGGGGAAGAGGGTGAAAAAAATTTGCAAAACTCGTAGGTGAACAATGTGAAGCAGTTTAAAAAATTTACAGAAAGACAAATCAACAATGGTAAGTAACGGAGGCAAGGCCAGCCCACTGCAGCATTCAGTTGCATCTAAAATAATTAGCTCTAGGCCTAAGTAGCCTACTAAAGAGAAAAAAAGCGGATGACGAACATTTACATAAAAAAGTATATAATGGTAACCTAATCTCAGATCTAGCGGTGAATGTATCACTTGATAAAAACTGGAACTAGAATGTAGATCCAGTCTATCATAGCCTAGCTAATGTAAAACCTAGAATGCCTAGAAAGATCTGATCTAGATCTACTAAATCTAGATTTACAGTAGGGTATTTCACTAGAATTATTAGATCTACTTACCTGAAGTGAAAAAAGGCCGACAACAGCTTGTAGCGGTGCCTTGACATCACTTGCTTGAAGTGGATGTCGACGAGCCAGAACGAACGCCAGTAGTCGTCGATGCTGGGCTTGGGGTTGAGACCCATGGCGATTTGCAAACCGATGAAAGCCTGCATCTCCTCGCGGTAAGTGTCAGACCACCTCTTTTTGTAATAGTTGGTTGCTGGCAAGGGGTCAAGACAGTGGGCAGCATAAGAGTTAGTCTGTGTGACCAGGAGGTCAATCACAGCTGGTGAAAAGAACAAGCTGAAAAAATCAACACACCTGAAATTTTCAGTGTCCACCAACAGTCCTGGCTGCTGGCTAAAGTCTGGTAGCCAGTCATTCACATAACGGTCCCCTGCGTCGAATAAATCGAAGTTGAAGGTGTTTGCTGTCGCAGGGATTGGTTGTGGCCTAGCCCTAGGCCTAGCACTTGGACGAGGAGCTGTGGCTGTGGTCGTGCGAGTAGAACTAGATTTAGATCTACGAGCGACAGACGTGCTCGGCTGCTGCTCGTCAGACGAAGATGTCGTAGATCTAGGACTAGCAGACTCTTCCGATTCAAGCGCTTGTACGTTGTTTCCATCCCAACTAAGCCAAGAAATATCGCTGGCATTATCGGGAGCAGACTGCCCTGAGTCACTGTCCTGGCGAAATACCGTAGATCCAGATCTAGAAGTAGAGTCGCTCATTCTCGTACGTGTTCACTGCTCGAAAACTCGAAGAAAAGTGGCCGAGTGACGCTAAATTTCCTGCTAACTATTGCGAAACAAAAGGAAGTAAACACTCTTTAGATTAAGTGCGCATGTCACGAAAGGGAGGTCACTACAATGAACGACATTGTAGTTCTAGTCATCGCGATCCCGTTGTTATGGTACACAATCGCCGATCGGCGAGAAGCGCCTCGAACGGAAATACTTCCGGCTCGCCGTACGGCGAGATGAGACAGCAAAGTGTTAAAAAACATGTCTGGTGCTTCTTGTGCTCAGGGACTGGTTCGTCCCTGGCTTGAGCCCTGTTGTAGAAGCACCAGGAGTCGGGTCCCTCAGGACACATTTGTTTTGGAAAATCATCTGTGGAAACAACAGTGGAAATACGACGCCTCGATGGCCTCGGCCATCACTTTGATGTCCTCCTCCGAGGCTCCAGTGAAACAGATGTCGTCACCTGCAACCCGGCTGCCGGCAACACTCTTCACAGCCCTAGTAAAGTACACTTGCAGCTTTGCAATCTTCTCCTGGGGAATAAATAAATTAGAAAAGGAAAAAGAAAATAAGCTTAGCAAATTCCCTTACCTTATCTGCCGCTCCGCGAATGCCAAATATAATCCTTTCTGAATGCACAAACATATATACACTATATATGCACACACCAATGTCTACAGGGCATGACATCACACACGGTTAGCCTCCGCCATCCGGATATCGGACGTGAGTGAAGAAGCACTTTTCGTGTACAGGCTGGGCACACTACAGGCACCCGAAGTTGGTGGTGCGCTTCCTTTTATTTCTGTAAAGCACCCGGAAGGTGTGAGAAGAAGTACCGGACCCAGCTGCGGAAGTCTGCGGTGTCTGCGGTGCTTCCCTGCTGCTTGTTGTTCCTCCGATGAGTTATGAAGCAATGTCCTCTGAAGTCCTGAAATCCGGACCAGCAGCGTCTGTTGTTGCTTGCCTTGGCAACTACAAAGGCGTTGTGGGAGGACACTGTCGCTAAATAAAAAAATAGCCGTCTCCACCATTTTGTTGATCTGGGAAATGAATGCGGTGAAATGAAGTTGAAATAAAACTTGTAACGTGAAATATTCAAAGGGCCCAAGAAAGTAATTTTTTGGAACGAAGTTGAAGTGAAAGCAGCTCATCTGAAAGGAAAAACACAATTTACAAGAACTACAAGAAAGAAAGAAAAAAAAACACGAAAAAAAAGAAAGTAAAATCTTGGGATCATTTTTTGTCAGGAGCTGTGAAGTAAATTTAGTGGAATGAAGTCTAACTATAACCTGTAATGTGAAATTTCAAAAGGCACATGAAAATATTTTTTGGAAATTGGAACGAAGTTGACCAAAATTGGAAAAGACGTACCTGTGGTTGATGATGTAGTATCCAACCATCTGATCCATTAGATCAACGCCTGTCATGTGCTGCAGGTGGTCAGAAAGGCATCTCGGTACAGTGACGGCCCGCTGGTTCGAATTTCCTTTCCGTCTCATGACAGTTCCGGTGTCCATCGGCGAATGGAAATTTGAAAGCACCAGGACATTCTTGGTATCCATCCAGTTGCAGAAGGTCAGGTCGTTGAATTGCCCCACTCTGTACTGATGCTTCTGCAACTGGAGGGCTCTGGGCAGCATTTCAGTGGACAGGCCTCTCCTGTTTGCTCGGATGTTGTCAGCTGGCTGTATCCCCTTGCCCACCAGATCCTCCATGAGTAAACAACTGGAGTAAAAATTGTCCATGAAGACTTGTAAATCTGCTGAAAGCAAGAAGGGGTGGGTGGTGTTGGAAAAGGTGAGGACTGGCCCAAGGAAATACTCTAAGCAAATTGAAAAGTCCAAGGGTGGTCTGTCCCTGGAGAGCCCTGGCGAACACAACACAGGAGGAAGAGTCGCACCGGAAGCCGTAATGACAGGGTTCAACACCAACCTCTCCGCCACCTCACCCTCCACACTCCTCCTTGCTGTCACATATCCTGGCTTCTCTCCTGAAATAAAAAAGTGCTGGAGTTTCTTGATACCAGGAAAGGACCTGGACCACGGCTTGAAAAAGGCTTGCCTGTCGTAGGTGGGAACATTCCTTTCCTGGTAGAACTCTCCACCACTGACTGGAATTCCCGGAGGGAATTGACACTGTGGCGTCGGATTGAGTTTTTGTGGTAAGATTTTGATTGGTTTGTTTTTGTCTAGGAATGTGTGAAGTATGTCTTCCACCACATCTGGTGGGAAGGATGGGGGCACCCACGACAGGTACAATTTTTTTTTTCCCTAGTTAATTTTTGGATATATGCGTGTGTGTAGGTATCTATTTGGAATTGTGTGTCATGAAGTAGTGATTCTGGTACTGAGTCGACAAATGTGAGATATATATTGAAAGACGTTGGGTTTCTATATATGCTTACCACTTCTCGCTCTTGCAGTCCATACCTGGTCGTTACTTCGTCTATTATCTGTGGGTTCCTGATGCGTCCCGCACCCTTTCCGGTTAGCTTGACTATGTAAGTGTTTGCCTCGTGTCGTATCAGCTCTGGCCGGTCGGTGTACTTTAGACTCGTCTTGAAGATCATGGCTGCTGTTGAAAAACGATAAGAACAAATGAGTGGGTAATAATGGCTCAATACTCACCAGACTGGGAGGACCGCCGTCGTGATCATGGTGTCCCGGGGGCAAAAAGTGCAGACTCACCGATGAGTGCTGGCCAGTCAGAACTCGCCAGACGAGGTAGGCCTACTGCAACAAGAACTGATTCTTGTTCCGTCCGGCACAGTTCTTGGACTTCTTCACTTTTCTTCATCAACTAAGAAAAGTTTGTCTCCACGAAGCCCATGCTATCGGTTCATGAAAGTGGAAATTAACTGGTGGTTTCATGTTTCTTACCGTGAGGTTTCTCCACGTTATATCCTACTCTTGTGTGGTTGTTCTGTCTCACTCACTCACTTCTGACACCATGTAGCAAGGTTCACTTCACCAGTCAAATGACCCCCCAAAATGTGACTGCGAGGTAGAAAGACTGTACTTACCGACTGGCGTCAACTCACTGGTAGGAGAAGATGTGAGGATCTGCAAGGTGGTGACGCGCCTGCGCTGGCCGGCTTAGATCGCGTCGACAGGCCCTCAGAGGTCACTTCGCCGGCAGCTACGACAACGTCGGCCACTCTGGTCTCTAGCAGAACTGAGACGGATCAGAAGGGGCGCACAGAATTCCCGCCTCGCCTTTATACCCATGTTTCAGCGCCCCTAGTGTCACGGGGCGGCAACTCTGTTCGGCCCACCCAGCGCCCCCTAGTCTCATGGGCCCGTAATTCTCAATTATTCATCTCTCCAATAACACAAAAAACTAGAGACACAAAGACAGCTTTATATACACCCCAGACCCTATGCTCTCAGAAGCCATGAATCTCAAGACAATGTGAAAACTGCTCATGGAGTGTTTACAATGAAAGGGAAACAACTGATAATGTAGTGGACAAGCAACTGTGATGGATTATGTCCCATATCATTACACTCATTCACTCTAGAATCTAGTTCTGACAATCACAGTGTGGGTGTCATAGGCTATTCTGCGTATGTTCACTAGATCTAGCTTTGCTTTGTCTCTTTATAGTTTCTTTCCAGTCGATGTCACTTACCGACATTAAATCTAGATCTAGTGTCATTGGAAGGGCATTGGCATTGATTCCACGCAATTTTTGTTGGTCTACTTGCGATTATATATTGATACTGAAGTATTATTTACCAAGCATAAACGTAGAAATACTGAGAGGGGGGCACAAGAGGTCAGAGCAACACTTCCAATCAAAATGTATACAAACCTCGTGTTCGGTGGTTGGAGCGTTGGTGGTGTCGGTGGTCACAGTGGTGGCAGGGGTGTCGGCTGTCGTTGCTTGTGGCGGTCTTGTGGTGGTGGGGCGTCGTCCTTTTAGTCGGTCAGCATAGGTCGCGGGTTCCGTGGTGGTGGGGGCGGTCTTGGTGGCAGGAGTGTCGTCGTTTATTTGAATAATGGTCCACTCGGGCGCAGTGTAGGCAGGCTATGCGACGTCCGGGGAGGGTGACCATTATATTGAGCGGGTCCGGCCCGCAGCCTGAGATCCTCACGTAGTGCGGGACGTCGTCGGGGTCGGCCTCCGCTAGGATGGTGTGACGGTCGTCCGAACCGTATCGTCTAGGGAGGAAGTCTATTTGGGAGTTTGGTTTGGCGAAGGTCCTGACGACTCGCTTGATATTTTCTTCAGAGAAAGTCACCGGGACCCATTGGAGGTATATCTTCCTCCTCTCACGGCCGGTGATTTGGAGGAGGGCGTCCGTCCCCTCCGCCACCTCGTTCAGGACCGTTGAGTGTAAACGCTGGAAGTCCGACCCTGTCTGCGGCTCAAGGTAGATGGTGTACGATTCCTGTAGTTGGTAATGTTTTTTGAGCCGCAGGTCGGGGTGTGTTTCGTTTATTTTCTGCATGATAGTGGCGGCGGGGATGGTGGCGGAGTACCGGCCAGTGAGGGTGACTGTTAGGGTCCCGGTGGGGTGTGGGTCAGGATCATCGTCAAACCGACAGTCTGTCTTGTGAGGCATCTCGGGAGGTGGTGGTGGTGGCGGTCCGGTCTTGTCTTGGTCTTATGGGACCGCCTCTCGGCACTTCCCAGACGGCGGGGTGGTGTGGAGGGGACAGAGCCCTGCACCGGGACATAAAGGAAAACAACAAGAAAAAACAACAACGATTATACCTTTACGAGTCCTCCTTGGTGCAGGGTTGTCTTTGCTCGGCGTCGTCCTTAAAAAAGTCCACCCAGACACAAGTCTGTAGCCTGCATGAAAAGAGTGAAAAGGAACCATGAGTCCATATCACGTAAAGAATGTAGAACTAGACACCTATCTAGATCTAGAATTATCCTAGATTCACAGAGACTAGATTTAGACATCTAGATCTAGATCTTAATGAAAGTGATTGAAAACATTGTATAAAACCATAATCCTTGAAATGGCATCATA